AATCAGTTAATTGCTTTTCTGGGAAGCTATTTTGTAGAATCACAGCATTCCGCTTTTCTGCTCTTACTTGTGATAGGAATGGTGATTTTTAGAAAACGCTAGTCATAAATATGCTATGTTTAATCAATACATCTTAAACTATTTCAGTGTACATTTTAACAAAGGAAATCTGATCAACCAAATGGCTACTCCATTCTTGTGGATGAAAAACTAACCACATTTAACACTCGCAACACAGTCTGTTAACTGACACTCAACTTTTGAGATCTCTTTCAAGACCAACAAAGCTAGGGTGATAGATCTGGCTTTGCTCATTGGATTTTAAGTACAGTTCTCATTCCAGCCATCAGACGCCTGTGCAATACTGTATTCAAATCTCTGCCATTGATTAACAGCAAATGGGCAGTAAGACATACAAGTTTCTATAATACCCCCAAAGACACTGAAAACTTCTCAAAAGGCTCATTGTGCAGTCCATGACACACCTTCATAAGGCGGGGCCTACTTTCATATGCCTTCTTCAGATTCTTCAACCCAACAGGTAAGCAAAGTGTACCATTTCATGCCTCTGTCAAGTATGTGCCTAACCCTACGGCCCAGCAAATAAACAGGTACTAAATTTGAGCCTGATATGAAATACCTTTCCAAATGAAAGTTTATTATTTTTTAAACAATTTTACATTGCCCCATGAGTCAGAGATTGAAAGATCTTAGTATTAGGCACATTTAAGTTTCAATACAACCAATGCTCAGGAAGGGCCTTAATTATATATTTATATAGTTATTTGTATGTTTTATAAAAATTGCAAATCCCACAAAACTGTATCTACACCTCTATTTAGTAGTCCCTAAAGGCTAACCCTAGAATAATGTTAAGATGTAGGGGTGTGTGTGTGTGTGTGTGTGTGTATGTGTGTGTGTGACAAAAATAACTCACTTCAATCTGGAACTATTCAGCATGCCCTGTCCTATGATGCTGTAGAATGCATGCTTCAGCCATTTGTTAAGTCCCCTGTCTCTCACCTAACAACAGATACCTTTCCAAGTGGCACTCTAGGGGAGACCCACTTAATGAGGGGTGGCGTCAAGAATAAGAGACTCAGCTATAACAACGAAAATATGTTTTTCATTAAACCCCAAACTGAGCTGGGATAAGCCAGCTGAAAGGCAGGTGTAAGGTTAAGGAAGCCTCTTGGGGCTTTTAACTTCCACAACAAACTGCACTAGGTTTTTCTGCACTAATTACTCATTATTGAAGAGTAAAGAATTGTAACAAAGAACTCTGTGGCAGTGGATAGAATACAGTTGTTGCAAAGGAAAGCACATACTCTTGATGAACTATGAAACCAGGCAAAGAGATTCAAGTTTCTCTATTTTTAAACAAATAACAATCAGTGTTCCTCTACAAGGGTGGTAAAGGTGAAAGAATATTCTTGGGACTAGAAGGCCAATTTTAAAATTAGTTTCGACTGTGAGATAAATTGCAAATTAAAAGCTAAGTGTTTGAGAGCAATTTATTAAATTCATGGGGACAGATATCCTGAAGGCAGAGATCACATTGTAGATTTTTAATATCTCAAGTTATACTGCACCTAGCCACCATCTGACAAGGAATGTGCCCCTTCCCCCCCCCCAAAAAAAAATATCACTTATATCTAACACGTCTTTCAGAATGCGGCTGCCTCACAATGCACTAAGTCTTGTTTACAGCTAACATCCTAAAGTACTTGAGGAATAGAAGTTATCTTGTGGTCACTTCCTCTATATTTCCCTAGAAAACACTTCCTGTATGTTACTGGAAATAAGTGTTACTAAGAATGTATTTTCAGACTGGGAGTATTTTTTAAGGTACACACACACACACACACACACACATACCCACACACATACACACACACAGATGCACACACAGACACATACAGACACACACAGATGTACACACAGACACACATACACAAATCAACACACACACAGATACACATACATACACAGATGGACAGACACACATATACATACAGACACACATACATAGACACACACATAAACATAGACACACACACACAGGCACACACAGACACACACACATACATACACACACACACAGATGCACACACAGACACATACAGACACACACATACAGAGATACACATATAAACACACACAGGCACACACATACACACACACAGATGCACACATATACACACAGAGACACACAGAGATACATATATAAACACACACAGGCACACACATATACACACACAGATGCACACACATACACACACATACACACAGAGGGACACACATACACACACAAAATTTTTGACTGCTTGCCATGTCAGACTATTTTTAACTCCAAAAAGTAAAAGTGTAAAAGTATATATTCTTTCAAAAGAAAAATCTAATTGATAAAATTCAGTTTCTATATTGTTATTGTGTGTCTTAGTAGAAAGACCTACAACTACCAACCTGCAAAAGGGCATTTGTTAACCTCCAGAAAACCAGTTTAAAAGAACCTTGTCATTTGCAGGGCAGGAAAATTGAAGACCAACCACCATTTTGAACAAGTCCATTCCTTACTGTGGCAGTGAACTTCATAAGCAGACATGTTTTAAGAATCAAATTATGTTTTTCCTAATATGCAAAGCTTTTAGCTGTCACAAAGACTGACTCCCCTCTCATACCAGCTCGAACTGATTCCACAGATAGCACTCCAGTTGCCTCGTTTCTGTCAATGTGTGCCTGGCCTGGCTGGCACACTCAGGACTGAGTGTGAGAAGGCAGCAGACTGTCAGTTTCCAATGTCATACACAGGAGCAATGAAGCAGTTTCTATGTGTCACTCAGACCTCTGCCAAACGCCCCCCGCCCACAGGCACAGCCAGACAATGTCCAGACTATTGACAGCTCACCAAATGCCCTCCTAATACTGTACGGGCATCTGCACAAGGCTGTCCTGGGTACGGAAAATACAGCTTGGTGCTTTTAACCAGAACTGACTACCTCACTGAAATCTAAATGAATAGTTACATACTGAACAGGAGTTGCTGCCGTATGAAAACATAATTTTAACAAGGAATCAACTGGAAGGAAAATTAAAAATGGATCCCTGGAGGTATTGGCCACCACCATCCAAGAATGAACTAGACTTTCACTTCCAATAGAGATCATTTGATAAAAATGATAAAACCCAGAGTCTGGGGGAATTCAGTTTGACATGGTGGTCTCCATGTGCTTCCTACAAACTTTACAAATGCCTAGGCCAGGAGAGATGCTTAGCAGTTGAGACCATATGTTGCTATCTTAAAGTTTTATTCTCAGCATCCATGTCAGGCATCCACAGCCACCTGTAATCCCAGGTCCCAGGTATCTACCATCTCTGATCTCCACGAATACCTGCACTCACATGCACACACACACACACACAGACACAGACACACACACACACAGATACACACACAGAAATATACACATACACATAAATACACATATACAGACAGACATACACACACAAACACACACATACACAGAGATACACACATACAGATACACACATACAGATACACACATACAGAGAGAGAAGAGAGAATTTGAAAAATATATATATATATATATGTGTGTGTGTGTATTACACACACACAGACACACACACACATATATATATATCTTTTTTAAAAATGCCTGGAAAAATTACATTTTGCATTCCCCATTCCTAAGGCTTCCTGCTTCCTAACTGCTAGACTACACCATGAATGTGTAATCAAAAGAAGTATTGGGGCACACATCACCGAATTTCCTAATTAAACCGCAGTCAACACCTCCTGGAATGCAGTCTGTGAAGGTAACGAGGTCATGTCCCACTGGCCCATAGAGAATCTGAGATGATAGCCTAAGATGATAGCCCAGAAACGCTCTGCTCAGTCTCGTCAAAAGTGCAACAGGAAGCATCAAATCCTTTGTCTCATTTGGTTATTAAATCGAACTAAGATGTGAACACCCCAATCACATCATTTTTCCATCTTTAAAGAAGAATACGTCAAAGGGAAAAACAGCTTAGCAGTTCCTAAGATCAGTGTTAGGGGAAAACCAGTCCAGCTTCAGCTCTACAACACTGGGAGACAGCAAAAGCAAATACACATGGTCAGGATTTCTCCTCATGGACTCCTCACAACCGTCATCAATTTGGAAGACACTATGAGACACGCTACTCTGAAAGGATTGTTCTCCACCCAGATTCAAGTAGCTGCTAGTCACAGCCTTCCCTACAGTCTGTCGAGTGGCAGGCTTGTGGAGGACTCTCACATTCAATGTATCCACTCCACACAGTCTATAAAGCAATGAGCAAATGTGGTAGAACAAAATCAAAGTGCAAGGTAGGGAGGGGTGTATGAACTGAAGTACTTCCTTCCGAGAATACGTCCATACGGCCTAACACAAGCACCCAGGTAAGGACTCCAGTTAATATGAGTGACTCTGAATCTTAAGCTTTATAAAGTGGGTGGAATATCTAACATACAGGAATGTCAACCAGACTTAATATCGATTTAATACTTCACAAATTCTTATTTATACATTGTACAAATTCAAACTACCTTAAGAAAGTTTGTCATAAAACTTTTCAAAACTGATGAAAGCGTTCAGAGTTCTGAACTATTTTAGGGAACTAGTTTGCCTCCTTGAAAGTTGAAGTACATACAGCCTTTGAAGTATTTTACATTGCTGTGTTATAGCTTAGTCAATACCATCTTGTTCATGAAACTCCCATGAACTCAACTGAAGGAGGCATTCTGTCTCTAAGTAACTCCTACACAACCACAAATGCCATTTCAGTATAAAACAATCCTATTATAATGAATTTGAAAATATCAAAAATTATAACTTCTATTTGAGCACTACAAATCTTACCACAATGGCAGCCAATTGTGGGAGGTGGGAGGGGCAAAAGCATTTTCAAGTCAGGCTACTACTTTAGCTGCATGTAACTGGCAATGAGAATGGACTCACCTCTCCTTGCTTGGGGATGCTGAACTTAGCAAGCTTGGCTTTGGCTCTGGCTGACTCTGGTTTGTTGGCTGGGACCCCTCTGTAGGCTGCACAGTGCACAGCAGTCTCCGTGGATGACTTAAGCTTAGGAGATTCATCAGGAGCCTGGTCCTGGCCATCCATTGGCCGCACGTAGGCAGTTGGTTTCTGCTGTACCAGGCTGGGTTTTGAAGCCAGGGATGGGGGAAAGTTCTGAACACAGTGTCCACTGCCGCTGTGCTTGGCTGCCATTGCCGGTGGCCTCTCCTGGGTCTGAAGCCCCGCCTCCATATTGCACACTTGCTTGGCCCTTGTCTGCTGTCTGCCAACACCATCTCCAAGCAAGGTCCTGAGAGAGCCCTGTTGCGCTGAGTTGGAAGAAGAAGGCAGTGATGGTGAGGATGAGGCTCTCCACACATAGTGAACAGGTTTTGCATTGTGGCTCTTTGAGATCTGTACAAAGCAACTTCCTTATGCCCCTCCTTACCTGCTCTCTGTTGGCCATCAGACGGCGGGTGCCCAGCCTTCTGCCAGCCCATGGTGCCTCTCTTGCCCTGCTGTACAGAGACGGCTGCTGGTGTGGAGGAGGCAGTGCTGCAGACGGATGAGGGCTGGGGCTGGGCTCTGGACTCCCCCACAAAATGTTCATCGATCTTGTTCACAGGAGTCTGAGGAACACCTGGCTTGGGGACACCAACAAGATGACTCTGGTTGGATCTATCAGTTAAAAAGTCTTTCATCTCGTCATAATTTCCTAGTGTATTCTGGATCCGGTTGGAGAGTTCATCCCCCTTGTTAGTCTGGAGAAAGAAAAATATCCATGATACTGTTAGACAAGACACAGGAAACAGTGAACAGGTGTCTGTCGGGTAACAAGGACAAAGCTGATATACTCCAAATAAAAACTGAGGGACAAAATTGAAGTTGTTACGGGCTCTGAAGATAACTGTTAGCCTCTACATTATTCAAGAACTAGAAACTTGTAATGGATAACTTTAGGGTATATTAACAAACAGAAAGTTGTTACTGGTATATTGTGCTATGGTCAAAATGCATTTATTATTATTTAAAGATATGTATTTGTTTTATATGTATATGTAACCTGAAAATCAGAAAATTTACTCTAATAACTTCATAAAATAGTCTTGATTAAGTCTTTCTAGAATTTGTTTATTGTTGTATCGTAGAACTATTGAAAGCTTTTCTTGAAGACTTAGGTTTAGTCACAACAGGGTTGCTCCCAGATCCTAAGCAAGTACTTATTCTTGTTAGAAACACAGTGTGTTAGGCTAGAGGAATCAGGGTAACTGAGAAGCAATACAAGACCAAATATGGACAACTGTCCCACCCTAAGCATTCCATGCTACCATGTTATCATGTTACTATGTTACCATGTTATCATGTTACCATGTAACTATGTTACCATGTTATCATGCTACCATGTAACTATGTTACCATTTTATCATGTTACCATGTAACTATGTTACCATGCAGCCTAAAATGCAAGTGAGCTCTTGGACAGTGTTTCATTTTGGAAGAGAGAGGAACTCTGCATTGTTGGTAGGAAGCATAGCAAATTGTGTGTGTGTGTGTGTGTGTGTGTGTGTGTGTGTGCGCATGGGGATGGACAATTTGCAAAAGTTGGTTCTCGTCTTCCACCATTTGGGTACTAGGGATCAAACTCAGGTCCTCAGCGTTGGTAGCTAGCACCTCCACCCCCAGAGTCATTCTGACCAGCCTCCAATCTCATTAGCCCTAACTCAGGCTTTGAGCCTTACATGAGCCACACTTATCAAATATATAACCTAACCTCTTTTTAATGATGTTTAAGAACCCAGAAAACATTACAGATTCATTAATTTTGGGACCAAAGAAGTGAAGTGTGAACTCCTGATAAAAGTCATAGCAAGTGAGTCTCAGTGTCACACTTTGCTGGTCAAGGAGCCCGCACAGCCACGCAAGCTAGACATCGATACTCAGGGATGTGACCTGCATGTGATGCCACAGGAGCAGGGCTATCTTCCCAGGCTAAACAGACCAAAAACCAAAATGGAGTTTCTTGTTGACTCCTTCACAGAGCCATTGAGGTGGCTGAAAGAGAAGGTGAACAGCTGAAAACCATCTACCTTGTAGGGTTCACTGAAGAGTGAGTAACCGGAGTTAAAGCCGCCACTGTCCTGCTGTGTCTCCTGATTTCTTCTTTCTCGCTCTTTCCTCCGTAATGCATTCCTATCTGGTTCATAGACACTGTGCCAGAAGAAAGGAAAGAGAACAACCCCAAAAATTAAAGGGCCAAGCCCAAAGTCATGTGCATCTGAAGACAGACATCTGGTTAATGGACAAATGGCAATGACTAAAGACAGGGATGCGATTAAAGCTCAGCAGGCCAGCTGAATTCCATGGCTGTCAATCATATTTTTCCAGGGGACAGGTTCCAACCAGAATTAGATTCCTCTGCCTGATATTAGGGAAAGCAACTATATAAGCAACTCTGACAGAAGATGGAGCGCCTTGCTCAGGTCTGCGGTAATTACTTCGATGTGTAAATACGAATTATGAGGAGACTTCCTCCGGTGACACTCACTGCCTCTGAGTGCTATATGGGAATGCTCCAGGATGGGGTTGTGTGTGTGTGTCATGTCTGTGTTTCTGTAGTGATTCTATCATTAACTAGCTCCCTGAGGAGCTGTTAAACCTCCATGCTGCAGTGGGTTTCTGCTATTACGAGCCTCCTCCTGATCTCTGTTAATCAGTCACGTCGTCAAAGACGACTGAATCAATTCTTCCTTCTGATATATTTGACACTATCGCTCCTCCTGACCATAAAACATGGGCTAGGAGGAGGGGCTGCAGGAGGCAAAGGGGAAGGATGGAGTGTCATTCCCCTCATAAGAAGAAAAATAAAGGGGCTCACTCAACTAGTGATGAGAAAGTGCCTCTCTAACTGCTGAAAGAAGACACACTGGTCCTCTGGGCTCACTGGCCTAGTGTGGATGTACGAACTACCCATCAGGAAACGCACATCCCGAAAACTTGATACTTGTCCTCATTTCTTAGCAGAAGCAAAGAATGACGATGACATGTCTGGGGAGTGGAGGGCTGATCTAGGAACCAAGAGGTCTACCTATTAATTAAAGGTCTCCCCAAACAGAGATGACAGAAAAGCTACTCAATCTCTTTACCCTAGTCCCCAGTGTCTACATATGAGGCAGGGATGTCTCAGGACACTGCAGTAATCTCAAAACAAGGGTGTGGCCATAGGTAATTCAGAAGAGAGAGCTAGTACACTCAGGCCTGGAAATCCAGGTTATTGCTACTAAAACACAGTTACAAAGAAAAGGATTTGTAGGTTGAAAGAACTTCATGAAAACAATAGTATTTTGTAGGTTAAACGCCTATTTTTAGTACCTGTGTCACATACATGCAGGGGGCATGAATGACACGGGGATATAGCGATTAAAAGGTATTCCTCATCCCAGTTCAGCCCATGTTGCCAGGGCATATTTTAAAGTCACTGTCTGCGGGGCGATACTACACATGCTTCTGGCAAGGCTGCCTGTGCCCCTGAGGCACTTAATTTAAATTTAAAATCAGGGAATGGTAAAATATTCAGAGCAAGGAGGCCATTAGCATTTTAATTCATCCTTAGTACATTACCCAAAGTTATTAGGTTTGGGAGCCTAACCGGTGTCCTTACATTAAAAAGGAAAAAAAAAATCATCTACCAACAGAGAGGCTCATCCTTCCAATGTCACAGCCCATTTCTAAGCATGGCTGAGGTGACACTGAGCAGCAGCACAGTGTGGACCCCCGCCCCCAGACACACTCATTCAAGCCCAAAGGAAAGGCTGTGATTGTCCTATGCTGCTGGTAAGTTGCTTGCCCTGAGTCCCCGGCTTCTGTAAATGCTCCGTGGGCTTCACACATTGACAGGATGGAAGACACGTGATTTATGGTACAGAGGCATGAAATGGGCTTCGAACCCCAGACAACTCTAGTTTATCGCTGACTTCTAACTTTAGACTTACGCTGGCTGGCATTTGAAAGGAACAAAAGACCCTGCATCCCAATGCATCTGAACTTCCCTTCTCCTCTGGCACCTAGGGTGTCAACCTTCAAACAGAGACCTCCACACACATGCCATGCAGGCCACCCTCTGCTAGGCCAAGCCAAGCACACACAAGAATGGAGTGATGCATGGAATGGCCTTATGCAAGATGAACAAGGCAGGCTTCTGAGGAGGCCCCCCATACCCAAAATTATACCTCCTGCATCTGCTGGCTGATGCCTGAAATTCCAGAACTAGAGAATCATTCCTCTGGCTTAGGATGTCTTCACCCCTGTAAGAAATACAAACACCACAAGAAGAGAGAGTGCTTTAAACCTAGCAAGCCTGCAATTAGTATCTTTGCATGTACAGGTCTGCAGTGTTTCCCTCCAAGGCCCATGGGAAGCAGCACAAGGACACTGGGATCCAAATGGGAGGTGTGACCCCCCCCCCAAATGCAGTGTTAGGACAGAAGAAAAAAGTACAGCTTATTTAGCAACATGGTTTAGATGTCTAAGATCAAGGCCAGGGGATGAACACCAGAGTCAGCTCAGTGGGTCAGACCCAGTGTGTTCCCAGGACTTTGGAATAAAAGTCAGGTCGTACTTTAGGAAAGCTGAAGATGGGGTCAAGCTGTTCCTGTTTAAATGAATCCCTCATTCCTAGCCTCTTTGGGTCTGAAGAGACAAAAGCAAAACCAGTCCACGATGCAGTCTATGGCCGAATAAAAGTTTCCTGTGTGGTTCAGCCTGTATGACCAAACTAAGTATGATTTCAGACAGAAGGGGCCAAGCATCCTTATAGACATCCAACAGAAGAGCTGCGCCTGCTGTCCTTTCTTGAGGCCACCACAAAGCCTACGCAGATGCCATCAGATGACTCAGTGTAGGACCATTGTCATGTAACCAAAGGAAATTAACGGAAACACAAAAGAAAGGCCCAGCTTCCTCCATGCCTCCTCTTTGGTCTCTGCTTCTTAGTGGGCAATTCTACAGCCTCCACTGAGCAGAGGCATCCCAGCCACTCCTCCTTAACTAGACCTGAAGCCCCCAGGTCTTATGTCAGGCTGAGGAGCTAAAAATATTGCCTGCTCACAGCAAACTCCACTATAAGAGAAAGGCAGGACCTCCCAGTTTTCCAGATCCCTGGGTGTCACTACCCTCACCAATGCTCAGTGCTTTCGCTTGTATAGACAGTGGCTAAGCTACTTGGCTAGTCCACCTTTGCACTGATTACAGAAAGAATCCCCACATGAGCTGGCACAGGGTCTCTTCCTCTCACCCTAAGAGCAGCCCCACCTCTCACTTTCTTGCCCCTGGAACAATGTAAGGGCTATGCAAAAAAGCCTTTTCCCTGAAGGTGGCAAGTGGGGTCAGCTTCCTGAGGGTGTGGGACTGGTCCTAGATAATCCTCATTCCTGGCAGGCTAGTATACCTGTTAAACTCAGTAACTGCCACGCTGTTTCTTCCTTGCTAACAGATGGTAAAGTCTCTATCAACTGTTAAAGTTTTTCCTTATTTCCATAGAAATTACAAAAATCGCATCCCCCAAATGTATATCGCCAAATGCATTTATTTATTTTGCACAGAAGTGTGGCAGTCAACCACCATAATGTTATTTATTATTTATTACAAATGCAGAACAGTCCCAGAAAATGGAATCTTTTAAATCAAATCCTTTTTTTAAAAAAAAAAACTTATTTTTAGGTTTTTTTTAAAGCAAATGAAAAACTATAATAAAAATATTTCTGATTGTTCTTCATTTACTTGATTTTAATCTACTAAGTCAGGTAGGGCTCAAGCCAAAGGCTTTTATGGAACATGAGTAAGAGGAAACATCCAAACAAGATAATTTCCAAAACCAATCTATCCTTAACTGCAAGGTGACAACCTGAAACTAAGTAAACAATGTTTATTCTGCCGGCTTCTTTCTTCTGCTGAAGGAAAACAAGCACCTAAACAGCCAGCTGGACATCTGTCTGTTGATGTCCTTACAATACCAGTTAGAAAAAGATAGGGGTGGTAGATATTATTCCTAGGTTAGCTTTGCAAAGGGCTCTCCATCTTGGTCACACATCCATAACCTCAATCCCTGGAAGATGGGAGCAAAAGGATGTGAGACCTGTCTCAAACAAAACAAAGCTAAATAAAGTAAGGGATTTAGGAGCTTAGGTCCTTAAAAAAGAACATCATGGGAGAGAGACAGCAAAGTCCAAAACACCTTATTCATCTCTCCTGAGAGAAAAGGAGCTGCCCACAAACCAGGGCCATGCCCCTAAGCAGAGGAAGGGCGAACAGCAAAAACAGAAACAAATGGAGCAGTTGAAACAAAGAAGCTATTTCCCATACAAAAAAAAAAAACAAAAAACAAAAAACAATGAAGAAAATTATCTTTTCTAACATGAGCCCGACAGGCGCGCGCACACACACACACACACACACACTCACACAGGATTACCATGCATCCTAGAACTGCAGCACAGACAACAGAATCCTAAACAGTGACAAGAGTGCTGATGGCATCACCTATCCTGGTCTCTCCCACACTGTGCTCCCTGGAAGAAAAGGTGGTGATGAGTGCAGCCAACTCCAACAGCTGAGCCCAGTGCTTGACCTAAGATTCAGCTGGCCAGGAAGAGCTGCCTCCTGCCCTGAGGTACTCACCCAGTGCAGCCCACCCACGTAGGAGTGCTCATTCCAAACCAACTGTCACGTTTCCCATGGTGGAGGCTGTCAGCAAAGGGTGAATGGAATCAACTTCAGCCCTTGACTGGAATCATGTTTTGCTCTTTATAAGAAGATCATCCTAACTTCCGACTTCCGGTGTGTCTCCAGATTAGTGGTTTAGCATTCATCATTTGCTGTTGTTATAACAAAATACCTGAGGCAGTGTACCTTATAAAGAAATGAGGTTTTTGTTTTGTTATGTTTTTAAGTTTAGGAAGCTGAATGTCCAACGTCAGATGGTCCCATCTATTTAACCAGCAGTGATGGCCTTCTGGCTACATTATAGCATAGTAGATGGCGTCATTTGGGGGCTCATACAAGAGAGAAAGCCTAAGTATTGATACTACCTATGCCCACTTATGCACCAACTAACTCTTAGAACTAAACAGAGTCTAGGAAAGTATAACATGCCCTTTCTAATGCAAGGAGCACCTAGACTAGATGCCATCTTTTCAAAAGCTGCAGTCCACAGCCCTAGAGACCATGCTCCTAGCAAAGGAGCCTTAGGAAATTCACTCATGCCATCTCCAAAACATGGCTGCAACTATGTAAGAGCAGAGACGAGAGAGTGACCAGCTCCTGTGCTTTAGGGAATATTAGTCTGCTAACCGTGTATTTAAAAAGATATCTTTCAAATAGCAGAAATACAACTTAGTCCAAAGCCAACTCCTCAGTTCTCTATGTGAGGGAAATAATCAGGGCTATGGCCAGTCCCTCCTACTGCTAAGAAGCTGTCTCAGAACGAGAGAGAAAGGAGGAGGGAACTCATTCATAAACAGTGTGGGCACCATGTATGTGATAAGCTCTGAGCTGGGCCCTGTGGGAGGGTCAGGTAGAAGGAAGATCACTGAGTGGTCCATACACAGATTACTGCTGGTTGGCTTTCCAGAGCTTAGGCAGTGACCTTTGCTCTTAGCAGGCAATGTGACTTCCTTAGCTAGAATTCTGTTTTCAGAATTCCATGGCCTAGGTTTGCCCACTGCCTGTCCTTACCACTCCCCTCAGAACAAGCTTCTCTAGCCCTTTCCAAGAGCAGAGGATGTGGGAACCCCAGGAAACGGTTCTCTGCTTCTTCTGTTCTCCATCAAAGATGGCTGAGCAGCCTACCACAGAGGCCGTTTTCCAGACACTTGGAGTTCTTGGCCACTATTGATGTGTGCATAGACACCCAGAAGGTGAACAGGAGAAGAAAAGCAAGTGGTGGCAAGGAGTGCTGTGCCTCAGAAACTCCACTGCTCTCAGCCAGCAATGTGAGACACTGTGTGTAATTTAAGGAGTCTAATCAAATGCCCTAAATTTATAACAATTGTTTTAAATTTGATGAATCAAACTAATCACCATCTTTTGTTATTTCTAAAGTAAACAATAAAGACCAGAATCCCTTCTCAAAAGAGAGGAAAGCAAGACTGTTGAGATGTCACTTGTAAATCCCCCCTGATCTGCAGACTAAGCAGACAGAAAGGCAGCTGGGATCAAACAGGTGAAGAGAAGCAATCAGAGACAAGGTGAGACAGAGTTCCAGTCTAGCAGAAAGATGAAGGAAGGTCTCCCAGCGGCAGCCCCTTTCTGTGGTCCTGGGTTGTGTGTGAGGCGGTGAGCTTGTGGAGGGGATTGGTGACGCTCCTGAGAGAGTGGGCTGCTCAATTCTGACACAACTGGACACAATGTAGAATCACCTGAGAAGAGGCTTTTAGTGAGGGATTGTCTAGATCAGGCTGGCCTGTGGCATCTCTGTGGGGGACTGTCTTGATTGTTAATTGGTGGGAAGACGCATTTGTGGACGCCATCATTTCATGAGCTGTGTCATGGGCTGTGTAAGAGCTGAGAAATCTAACAAACAAGCAAGCACGGAAGAGTGTCTTTGCTCTCTGCACTCTGACTGCTGCTTGAGCTCCTACACTGGCTTTCCTATGAGGAAGGATCCTAACTTGGAATTGTCATCCAAGTCAAGGAAACTAGAATAGAGCAAGGTGTGAGGGGTGTGTGATATGGCTGAGGCTGATGGTGGTGATGAAGGAGGTTGTGCCAGGATAGTGATGGTGGTGATGGTGGTGGTGGTGGTGGTGGTGATAATGGTGATGATGGTGGTGATGGTGGTGATAGTGGTGATGATGGTGGTGATGGTGGTGGTGATGGTGGTGGTTAATGGTGATGGTGGTGATGGTGGTGGTGATGGTGGTGGTGATGGTGGTGGTGGTGATGGTGGTGATGGTAGTTGGTGGTGATGGTGGTGACGGTGGTGATGGTGGTGGTGATGGTGGTGGTGATGGTGGTGGTGGTGATGGTAGTTGGTGGTGATGGTGGTGACGGTGGTGATGGTGGTGGTGATGGTGGTGGTGATGGTGGTGGTGATGGTGGTGGTGATGGTGGTGGTTAATGGTGATGGTGGTGGTGGTGGTCACGGTGGTAGTCCCAAAGGAGCTTGTGAAGGCAGTACTGAAGGTGACTGCAACAGTAGTTACATGCCTGCTAAGGACAGAACACCATTCAATAATGTACAAACAGTCCCTTCAACCACCTGGGGAGCATTATCCACGATAATGCGATAAATAATAAAGCGATTTCA